TTTAGAGATTCTTATATAGTATAAGTAACAACTGAATTAAAAAAAACGCTCTATAGCTAACCCTCATGATTATTCCTTCATTTTCGTGATTATTTTGACAATATATAGAGCAAAAGGTGTAGTTTCTGAATATGTATTCTACAATTCATTTTCGTGGCAAACAATATGATATATGCGATGTATATGTGATGATATATTTCAGTAATTGCAGTCCGGTGTATTTCCAAATTTGGCTTAGCATAAAAGAATTGTTCTAGAATTTAGAAGATCATCGATTATCTGCAAAAATAAATCTGATTGGCTATTTTTGCAAATCTTACCTTCATTTTTTTTAAATTGATATTGATCGATACGATTTTTTTTCTTATTTGAAGATTACGAACATATATTAAAGTTAGTATTTAAAGACTTACAGATTTAGAATTCACTATGGTTACAACAGAATCCACCCACCCGCTTAAGTTGTACTTGTTCAAAAAAATAGGTAGCTGGTTAAAATTTTTATGTCGGGTAAGGCTTAAATTTGCCTCTAAACGTTTATTTTATTGATTAATTTTAAGTGTAAGATATTTATTAATCATTAGAACATGATTTAGCTTAGGCTGGATCTGGTATCATAAAGAGAATAAAGAAAATTAAATTATTGGTGGTAGAAGAATGAACAAAAAGCACATCTAATTTCGTGCTGGTACGTTATTACAATTTGACAATAGTGGCAGTCTACGAACTCATTTAGAAAAAGGTCTTTATAAGATTCGTGGATAGAACTTATTCAACTTGTGAACGAAATTACTAGTGGATTAACCTAATTTATTTCACAATAAAATATTATTGATCAGAATCTTGTAAGTTTATTTTTTAAATTTTACTTTCTAACCATTTTTAAATTAAATTTTAAATTACTTACAAAATTTTAACGATCAAGAATGTTTTGATAAATGATGATAGGGCTTTTAATCTCGGACTTTGGCATATCAAAAACAATTGAATGGCTTTTTTACTTCGAGCATAAAATAGCAGATATACTGGCGTATATTGAGCCACAGGAGGTAGACAAGTGGAGATAAGGACATCGATAATTGCATTAAAGAATTTCAACTTAAAGCTATATTTTATATCGATGTAATCGAGTGGATTTCTTTTAATAGATTAGATGATAATCAAAATATTTGTGAATTTTTCGCAACTTGGCTATATGGAATACGAATCGTTTCAGGTAAACATAGTAGTGTAGCTGCCTCTGTTCTGAACCTGAGCAAATGATTAAATATGATAAATGATCTGACATTTATAGTCTAGGCGTATTATTTTGGGAACTTATAAGTAGTCAGTGTACCTTTTGAAATTCTATGCAATTTGATTCATAACCGACTTTTAACAATAACTTCAGGTATGTGAATAAATATTTAAGGTTCTTATAATGAAATTTTCATTTGTTGTTAATGACGTTTAGATATTAATAATTAATCTTTAGTAAAAAAGGACCATTATATATTTCAAAGCCAATTGGTACCGAATTTGTAATTTGTAAAAGGTATTAACAAATATAAGATATATTTAATGATTCATTAATTTCTTTATATCATTTCTTCATCTATAAGCTCTTTATCTTCATTTTCTTCATCAATAGCATCTTCAGCATTATTTAAGCCTCGTATTTCTTGCAAGATTGTTAATAGTATAGTTTTTGTCTTATTTTTTAAATTAGTATACTTCGAGCATTGTGTTTCAGGAAGTGATATAAGTATTGAATTGATAACTGAAATAAGCTCTTCTTTTCTCATTGTGCTTTCATTTTTCATTATTTCGGCCTCCTGCTCCGTTACTGGAATTGCTCGCCAAGTATCAATACTAGTATTTTGCATTAAGGTATGTTTAATAAATACTTGTCTTTTTTCTTGTGTGAGTACACTAAATGACTTCATTTCTTCACTCAAATTAATTTCACCGTCTAAATTAGTAAATGCACTATTCATTTTTGTTGGATTCAAGAACTGTTTTTTCCTTAGATATGTACGAAAACGTTGTTGTTCCATATAAGAATTAGGCTGAGTTCGTTGTTCTGAATTCTCATTATCCTCATATCCAATAATATTAAAAAGGTTGGTACGTAGCTAAATTTAGTTAAATGTTAGAATTAATTTAATGCAGTAATATCTATTTATTAAATTACCTTTAAAAAATTTACATAGTTTCTTGCAGCAATTTCCCAGTGATGTTGCGATGGTACTGGAGGAATTAGGGATTTTAAGGCTTTATTAATCTCTTCTATTATGGCATCAAGTCCTTGGTGCTGATTTTGAAGCCCTGATCGAGATAATACCGAGAAATTTTCAATATTTTCACGAATTTGAGGTTTTAAATTTAATAAAGTTTCTTCATATGATACTTCTAATAATTTGTAAATCGGATGACGCCTAGCTGACCAAATTGGAGCAAATTGGCGTCGGGCTGCGTTTCGTAATAAAGATTGGTTGGTTCGAACTCCAGTGCGAAAGTTAACAATAGCCTGAAGATAAGTAAAAGTCTACTGTGATTGTGTTTTTTTTTTTGTTCTTATTTATGTTGTAAGTTAAAATTAAACCAATATCTAACCTGTTCAAATTTTAATTTATATGTTTCACTAGTTTGTGCCTTAGCCCATTCTAAGTATCCATTAGGTGTTGGGTTGTTATGGTTTAGAACATATGGCCATATTAATTCTGATGCCATCGAATATCGATATATATTACATATTGAGTCCCATGCCTTATGGTGGTCAATACATTTTTGAAAATATTCTAGTTGATTATCTGTTCGGTACCCTTGACATTGAGCAAATATCTTTATATCTATATCCCTTAAAAATTAAAAAATTTAAAGTAAGTAAGTTAGTAAATTAAAATATTTTAATATTAATTTATACCAATTTAGTTCAACAAATGCTTTAAGCATATTCATTTCCTCGTGCAAAGGGCCCGGAAGTAGAATTAACCAAGAAAATTTTTTTTTTAGTTTTAGTGCTTGATTATATGGTACGCCATCACATACGACAGGTAACTATCTGCGTTTTCCAGATTTAATTCCAGCAATTATTTCAATATGCTCTAAAATTTTTTGAACATTTATTAAAGAATTAGGATTGATAGGAATTGGGTCAGGAACATATAAATCTGAAATTTTTATTCCTTCGTCTATTATAGTTCTTTGTGTTATACTAATTTTAGGTCTTTGCACTTTAATACTAGATTGTTTAGGTTCATATAGTTTAAACACTACTGTTTTATCTATATTTTCAGATAATGTGGTTTGTTGAAAAGACGAAGCTTGACTTATTGAAGCAAGCGTTGGTAACTTAGTATTACATTTAGGACAATTTCGCTTTTTATTATCAATTTCTGATTCGAAACAATTTAAACATTGTTTATTTTTATTAGATAAGCTGTTTTGTTTTTCAACTAGTTTATCTATTTCATTTACTTTTTGATTTTTTTCAGAATATAGGTTACTTATTATTTCATTAATAAATTCGAGAAGCTCTATTTCAAGTACTTTTTCCATATTATCGTTTAAATAAAATAATTGTTTGATATCATCTTCAAGAAGTGAGTTGTTTTTCCACGGATCAATTTTTAATTGGCAATCATCATTCGAATCAAAATTAAAGCCTACAAAGCTAGTTACTGTATGGAATACAACCGTGTTATAACCTCGATCCAAATAGTTTTTTTGGCCTTTTTGTTTATTATCGAAGGCCAAAATTAAAAATCTATCTGGTAAGGGCTTAGGCTCGATTGCTAAACTTTTGATCTAATTAATAAATTTTGTATAGCCTCCTCCACTAGTAATATGGTTATCAATATCTATTATAGTTTTTGATCGAGCAATAGTATATTTAATCGCTGATGCAGCAAGATTTATTTCAGAGACATATTTGCTATGTCGTAATTTATAAATAGCATCTACAGCTACTATACGTTTAAAAATTTTCTTTTGATATAATTGCTCATCATTATTATCAGTAAGTACTTCGATAAATTTTACTATTACAGGATTACGATACTTAAGCCAATTTAAAGGATTATATACTAATAAATTTTCTAAAGAAAACCGATCACAATTATTAATTAAATAAATAATATCATCATATAGAAGCCTTCGTTCTAATAAAGCTATTGTAGCAACTTCTGTTATTTGCTTTTGTTGAGTACTATACCGTTCATTCCATTGTTCTTTTAAATATGTATTTTCATTTTCTAATTTATTTTTTTCATTTGTTAATATTTCTACATTATTTTTATATAAATTTAAACTTTCTAATCTAAGATTAAAATCGGCAATTTGTTTTTTAAGATATTCGCATTCATATTCTAATTCATAAATTTTATTATTTTTAATTTCAATAATTTGTAATTGTTTAGAATTTTCGCTTGCAAGAACATTAAGAGAATTTTTTAAAATTCCGATTTGCATTAAAAGATCACTATTCGTATTATCTACTTCTACCTGAATTCCAATATCGATAGTTGTTGAAGGTTCTATTTGTATATCATTCAAATTTAAGGTATTAAAATTGTGACTTCGCTTTCTTGGATAAGATGACAATCCATTTTTTAAATGGTTTAAATAAGTATCTTTCACAAAAATTTGATTATAGTGCTTTTCACAAATTATATGTTTCTCTAACTTATTTTGAAAAGTATTTAATTCAGGAAAATATGGTTCAAATAATTTAATTCGGGCCCTAATAGTATTTGTATTTGCATTTCGAATTTTTTGACGTTCTTTAGTTTCACATTCAATTAATTGTTTAGTATCTTTATAAGCTTGAACAAGTGTAGAAAATAAACAAGTCAGAGGTAAATCCTCAGAATCTTCAACTTTTTTTTTAAAATGAAAAAAAAATATATAAATAATGGTTAAATTATAAAACTAACTTGCAAAATACTAACTATCCGTAGACAAAAGTAAATCCTCAGAATTTTCAACTTTTTTAAAATGAAAAAAAATATAAGTAACAGTTAAATAATAATAAACTAAATTAAAAATACTAACCATCCATAATTGTATTTTAAACGGCAACTTTTAGACTTTAACACAAATATCTACGAAGATATATAAGCGAAGTAAACGCAAAGAAAAAACCAGACTTCGAGTTTATTATTTACTGGCCTTGGCCCTGACTATACCACATATAGTATGTAATTAAATTTATTTTTAAATCATATATGTTTTTAATCAAGGCTAGATCTGGTAAATAAACTTGAAAGCCCAAGGTCCGGCTTCCTCTTGGCGTCACTCATATATACTGTTAATTTGCTAAATAACAGACATGGGAGTTGTCTCAAATATTGTGACTCCTAAATTAGTATAGCGTAACTATCATTTGGGAGAGTTATAATAACAAGACCGATCTAACTTTAATAGTTACGAGGAAAATAATTGTAGAAGGAAAAAAATATGAAAATTGGTTTTTTTCGGCTTTACACCAGCTTACTTCCTTTGGTATTATGGGTAAAACGAAGAAGAAAACTCTGCCTTTATTGAAGTCAAATTCTTTCATTTATATACATTTAAGTTAATTAGGCTACACATTATACGCGCTATCTAGCACATTAGTCGTAATAATGCTAGATGATTTTAAGCCTCCACGTTGAACGTGCTATCCCAAACCTTCCAAGGTAAAAAAATAATTATATAAAGCTACCATATGGACGTATTAGCATGTTGAGCATGCTATCACTTTAAACGTGCTATTCTAATTAAATGAAAGGAGAAGGTCAGATGAAAATCATCGTGTAGAACAGGTTTCCCTTTCAAAATTAACATTCGATACATTATACAAAAATGGAAATGAAGTTCGAAATAACGCCCTTTGAATTTGAAATAACAATGAAATTTGAAATAACAGGTGATTGAAATAACGTAAATGAGCCGATAAATTAAACAATTTGATAGATACGATACTTGAAAAACAGAACCCGGTTCTTTATGCCATTTGCAATCATAATTTTTATATATATAAAATTAAATTTTTAATACATTTATATCACTTTACGCCATCTGAAACTCATACGAAATCTATGCTAAAAAAATTTTTGTTTAATGTATTTTTGAACTTAAATTTTTTTCGCTTTCAAAAATTATATAGTTAATCAATTTTAAGAAAGATTACTAAATTCTAGAATATCGATACGCGGTCATGCAATGTAAATCATTACTATATTAGGTAATACCAAATATAGAAAAACACCGGACTGTATTACATCCTTGTGCTCTGTACTATACTTGTAATACTATCTATACTAGCTACTAAACTATACTAGTCATACTAATTATACTTTGTATTATGTCATGTTATATATATTATACAAAACAAAAAATACTATCTCGCGTACTATTTTTTAATCTTATCTTTTCAAGCTCTAAATATACCTATTTTAATTAGTTAAGAACCGGACTCCTACAATATTAACTATTACTACTCCAGATATAAAGATCATTTCAGAGTAGTAATGAATGAAAGTAAAATATCTTCTTTTCATGTTTTGGCACAAAACATCAAACCTACTCATTGTGAAGAAATTATCAAAAAACTCTACTACTTTCTTGTCTCTTTCCAACCTATTATTTCTACATATTTTTGTAGTTAATATTATACAAGCTTCATCTCTTATTACTATACTCTAACTCATACTACTTTAGGAAATCCTAAAATAATAAATAATTTTTCTAATACAATCTCTGTAAAAAGCTACAAAAAAATTACTGATAAACTTATCTCTTTTCCTATTACTTGATCTATTCCTACTATTCTTTTCTTAGAATTCAAAACTGATACAACTTTTGCAACTATTCAAACATATTCCTAATACTGACATATCTGTGTTATTTGCAAAACCAAAAATCTATTATATGTTTATACTACTAATAATAAATACATACCTAACTATACAATCTCTATACTTTTAGGGTCTGGCGATCTAGTGAAGTGGTTAGGTTGTCAGACCACCATGCAAGAGGTCTAGGGTTCAAATCCTACTGTTGACAGAATTGAATAATTACCTAAACATCTGTATCCAACTTACGGTAAACTCTGTTCGTTTCTGGGAGTTGTAACCCTGTAAATCATATTGCACCAATGTTGTTCAGACATTAGAAGTGTGACGGAATGTTGGAGTTGTGTTACATGAATAAATCGAGATAGGATCTATGAGCAGAGGACCTGCATGGCAGAAATCTCGAGTTAGGTGAAGTAGTACAGATTTCAACAGTCACACCAGCCAACGCCTGATCTGGTAAAGATTTCTGAGTATGAAGATGCAGATCGAGTAGATGCGAATAAATCCATAACATTGGGTGTTATAGCAACACCAACTTGGCTTGGCAGCTAACTAGATTAGAAGAATCTGCTTTGTGAAATATTCGGAAATACAAAGAAGTCTGATCTAGTAGATGGTTACGGAAGAAACTGAGTTCGTACGAATATCAAATAAGGATATATGTAAGCTAGATTGAGATATAGTGTAGCATAGTTAGGTATCATGATACCTATCTGTTAGGGGACATTGTAGTGGGACTTATTCAGGTAAGATCTAGGTCCATAACAGTAAAGTTTGCGACTAATATCAGCTTAGGTACCTTCTAAAGTGGAGTAGCATAGGGTTATGGGTTTAATTATAAGAGTAGTACTTGCGATAAGTGAGATAAAGCCAGAGAGTTTAAATAGGGAATCTTCTAAGAGATTTCAGATATAGCAGCTAGTGTAGAACCTTCGAGCAGACTACTT